GATAAAACGTTGAAAAGCGCTCTATAAGATTTTATAAGATGCACTCGAAATTGTAACTTATGTTGTTGCTAGCGGGGCAGTGAGAGCTAACGGTCGCCTTTCCTTTTTTGTACACTAGGAACGCACACGAAAAGTGAACAAATACTGACAAATAGTCGAAATTGAAGCCGCAAAAATTGATATTTAACGCGCGCACTAAATATTTTTTTAGTGTTGTACCGATCTTCACAGTGGCTAAAATTTAACTCGAACTAAATAGGACGCAAGTAACTTATTTTAAATTGATATTAAATACACGCAGCGCTTCCAAACTGCATCGCTATTCACGCACACACGCACGTACACTGCGGTCTTGACGGCTGTCAACTAAAGAATTAGGTGTTGCCACAAAACTCCATAAAATCCAGATTAAAAATAAAACAAATATATGCGCTTCAGTGAAATCGCACCCCTAGAAACGTAACTATATATAGTTTACTATAGTTTACTTAAATATTAATCATATAGCCAATTGGTTAGCTTCTTTATACAAAATTATCATTAATGAAATGAAATTAATTTTGGAAATGAATGCCGCAACAATATGAAATCTAGTGGTAGCATTATCGAAGCGTATCAGACCGAACACAATGAAAACGACAGCTACTGACCACAGCTGTCAAATTATTTTTACACGTACTCTTGTGCGAAGCGCACATTACCATGATTCTGACGTTACGAATCCGCAGAGCCAAAATTAACAACAATACTACCCATATATTTTAACGAGCCAGCGCACACTTGCACGATTCCGTCGCTGTGAATTTTTCGAATATCCAATCTTCCTCTCTTTTGACGCGTTCGAAATGCGGCTTGCAGTGTTTGAAGGCGTCAAAGAGGAAGAAGAAGAGTGTCATAGCAATACATGCAAAGGAAAAATGTGTGAAGCACAAAAACTAATAGAAAATGTTCGTAACAATCCTATTTTATATGATGTGAGCGCGCCATGTACAAAAATATACGAAAAAAGGAACAATTAAGTGAATTTTACATCGGAATCTGTCGCGAAAAAATCGCACTAGTGTCTGAACGATAGCGGATTCGAAGTGAACAGCCGAATTCGCAATATATTCGCAACGACAGAATCGCACTAATGTGCGCTTCGCATTATGTAGATAATTATAAGTTTCTTTCCCTAGCAATCCGGACCCGATCAGGTAATTAGAGAATAAGCGTAAAATTTGCTCTCAAAAATGGAACAAATTGCAGATGTAAAGAGAACCCACACATGCAAACACTTGGAAATTTAATTTCGGTTTTCCTAATTAGATATGTATATAAAGATTGAAAATACATCAACAGGACTTCCACTATTCCTTAAAAGCACCAAGTAAATGCAAGTAACATGTAAACACAAAACAGCTGATATGCACTTCGACACTTTATCCATTTTTACCCGGAGAAAAAGTCCGGGCTGTTTCGGACAGGAAAAAGAAGACACTTACGATCCAATACGTTCCAACTTTCGCTCACTATTACCCATTTTTTGAGTACGGGAATGAGTTCTGGGCTGTTTTGGCCACCCGTGGGATTCCGCGCTGCGTACGTGAAAGAACCTATTTTGGCGACGACCGGGCTACGCGACGCCTGTGGTTTTGGCCAGATTAGATCTATTTCTATATTTCCAGCGACAGATAAGGTTCTTCCTCTTATTTTATATCCAACTCATACAAATTTATGATGTCGCTGCTGCGTTCAAAAAAATCATGTCGTCATCGCAAGCGTTTAGATTATGAAAATAACATTTTGGAAGGTGTGGCCCGTTCAATGTGTTCAGAACTTAAGTCCGCAACTTGCAACCAGTGTTGCTAGGTTACGGTAGTGAGAAATCGTCAGTTTGTTGCTCAAAAATCGTAATTTGCATGTGAAATCGTCAACATGAAAAAGTTATAATGAACAGAATCAGAAAGCTCTTTTGGCTTTTTTCCGATTGATATACGTAAAAAATAAAAAGTTAAACTTTTTTCGAATTGTTATAATTCACATTACTTTCAAAAAAAAATATTTTTAATTGCAATAAAATCGGATTTTTTTCCTCATTTTTGGATCATTAAAGCCCGGCTACACTAATAAATTTAAAATTAATCAGCTTGTTAAAATTTAAAATGACACAATTTTGTTCGGAAAACTAAACATTATAAATTTTAACAGTCTGATAAATTCAGAATTGATTAGTGAAACTTCGCATTAGTCGTATAACATTTGTTTTTGTTACAAAGTTTTTGCATCAAATTAAAAAATTTGTTTCATTATTTTTGTTGCTTGAAAAGGAACTTTACCGTGGGAGTAAATATTATTTAAGGACTAAATACACGAGCGTTTTTTCTTCAGATCCTCAGACTGATTTTAGGAAATTTTTATAGCAGAACGTTTCTTCGGACGATTTTATATGAATTTTTCGATTTTATTGAGAACCGTATACTAATCTTTAATCAGGTACAGTTTTAATGCTACGTTTCATTTTTGAAACTTTTAAGTATATCGTTGGTTGGATAAAACTCAAAACAAGAACAATCATTTCCTTTTGATAAGTCCCGTTTGAGCAAAATTCCTTCAAGTTTACCTTTCTTGCAAAAAATCATCTTCTGGCTGGACACCTGATGTAAAGAGAACATTACATATTTGCACAAACTGCAACTTTAACATGTGCATTAAAACTGTTAATACTTACAATTTTTGCTAAATATTTTATTCACAAGTTCGTTCGCTCAATAAAATATGTATCAGTACAAAGCGCAAAAGCTACGAATTTGACCCTAAAAACTACACAAATAGTGATGAAATATAGAAGAAATCTACTTATCGACAACTACTGTTAGCTCTGCCGCATGATATAATTTCGAAATGACAATTATATATTAGCAAATTTTAGTGTCTGTGTAACTATCTTTAAACTTGAGAACCAACCAAATTCGCGCAAAAAAAAATCGTTAATGGGGTAAAAATTCGTCAAATCGTCATGCCCTTAAAAAATTCCAAAATGACGACCAAATTTGCAATCTGGCCACACTACGTGCAACCCTGTTTTGTAGGTATGTGTCTAGACTTCGATTTTCGTACTGTAGAAACTTTTCTTACGTACTGTCATTTTGAAATGTCGATGACAAGTTTAAAGTGTCAGTAGTCGGAAGTGGCTATCGATACGTTCGTACGTTTTATTTGGAAACGTTTATTGAAATTCGGAAATATTATTGAGAATCAACAATGATGGGTTTGCCGCTTTTCGTAGTTCAAATTATCAATTCTGGCCGATTCTTTACAAGATTTATGAGTTCGAAAAGATTCCATCAACGGTTGTTGGAGTTTTTT